GATAGATAGATAGATAGATAGATAGATAGATAGATAGATAGATTGCAGTAGAACAAAGAATAGGTTGCATGGGAATATTAATATAAAGATTGAAACAATACCTTAGAAAACCAAAAATAGTTTCCATATCATCATTAATTCACCATTACAAGCATATTACATGCTATCTAACTGTGCCAATAAACAGCTCAATTGATTGTTTTCACAGTGGTTATTCTTCTTCTAGACAATCTGTAAATACAATTCCTATTAGGCTTATGATGACACCCAAAATAAAGCATGATTCCATTAGGTCTGTTAACCAGCACACATCTTTAAACAAACATTTATCCATTAAAGGTTCCAGCTATTTGTAGAATTGAATTTGGGTGTTTTGTGAATGCGTGCGTGTGTTTCCCGTTAACACAAGTCGCTTGTTGAGATATCCAAATGCATCATTGTGCTACATTAAAGCATTCCCCTTGCATTTTAGTTAAGTGACCCTTTCCAAATCACCCAAATAGTCTAGAGACCGGGGTATATAATGCAGTTCTTTGGAATCTCCTAACAAAAGGTTTTTGGGGAAGGGGGGGTCTTCATGAGACGTGTGAGAAGAAAGTATCCAGAGATGTCAGGAGGCCCTTGGACAAACAAGTAAACTGCAGCAACCATCTGAGTTGACTTAATGTCGTTAGGATACAGTCCACTTAAAGCAGAGAAGAAAGCCATGAATTGGTCCGGAAAGTGGCAGGACCTCTGTGTAGACAAGACTGGAACAGCCGATGAATGCATCACATTCATCACAAGGACACAACATTCTGCTCCACAGACGGCAAAATGACAAGAAGCCATCCAAATGAAGGAAAACTGAAGGAATGACAACAAAAAACGTAGTAATTAGATTAGGAGAGAATAAAGTGGAAATGCACCAAAATACATCACTGTCTCCTGCTTTTTGTTACGCTACTTCTGAAATCTGACAGAATATAATCAACTTTTACATTTATGTGCATAGCGTGCAGAATATTAAAGTTTTGCACCAAAACATGCACATTTATGCTCGATCTTTCTTTTGTTTTGATTACTCTGTTAATCTTCTCCACAAAATCACATTCATTTTCGCCTTAACAACAAGAACTATGCATTTTCCCTACAAATACTATCATAACTGTAGTCTGTTTTTATTTTATTTTGTTTGTTCTTTTGTTTGTTTGTCTTATGCATTCAACTGATTGGGATAAAACTGAGACCAAAAATCGCTGTGAGTCCATGATTTGACCATATTCATACTGAGTATGTTCGCTTCGCCCCCTTTTTAGATAAGTTCAATCATTTACACATAAACCTTCATTCATTTCTGTAAGTGAAAATGAAAGTGGACTCTTCAAGGCAACTTTAAATGCTTAACCACTGATTTTATACAAAAGTACATGATCATATACACATTCTGAACTGTTAAATAATTACGGACATAGCTTATTATCACTGTTTTCTGAAATATAGTCAGAACAGCAGATAGATCCCAAACACATCACAGACAGCACAAAAAGCCACAAACAAAGAGCTTCTGGGTGAAATGATTACGTTCTTAATCATGCCAGAACAGTTTATTAAACTTCAACATGTTTCTTCAACTTGTCAGAGTAAACAGAAATAGTAAACTGTAATGTAATTCCTTGAGGAAAATATTTTTTCGAAGAGGAATGAGGTAGAAAAGTATAGTGAGCTAAATTACATTATTATTTCCCTGAAGGAAACACCTTCAGTGGTAAGGAAAACGTGACTGTTAAATTCTAATTAGGCAGTTTGTCCTTTGACTTTATTAATATTTTAAATTAATGTGTTTCAACTTCTTTTTGTGATTTCTGTCATTAAATATGCAAGTGAACTACTATTTAAGGATATATATACATATATATAGAACGCCTACAGAACACTTGTAATAGATAATTATGGTAAGACAATTGTGTTGTTGTGGCATTACGGGTTTTTGTGGAGTATTTCCCAGCACCCCAACAGAAAAATACACAGAAGGAGGCTTAGTAAATACTTTGCTAGACTGTACCAGTGTCCCCAGTCCCAAAACAAATAAGGCAAGTGGGATCTGACAGCATCCACACAGCTGGCCTCAGAGGTCTGTGGATCCTCAGCAAACAAGCGTCCGACCGG